CTACTGAACTTACTAATTTGTGCAAATTTGTGCAATTTCTTACAATTTTATTTACGGAAATATGGTTGGCACTCTACTAACTAACATTGACTTAAATACAAATCCCTTTAAAAATAAGGTCTGTTAGGCGACTCAGTTTTTGATATTTAGTGAAAATGTTCTCTAATTTGACACCCTGAGTAAAACCGTAAAACCAAAATGAAAAACTTTATTTCTATGAGATGAAAAATGTTCACGCATGCGCACATTGCACCAGATTTGCTCGGGATACCAGTGACGTCATAGACGCCACGTTGGTTGGTTTGAACAAAGGTTTGGTCTTTTTACATCTACATTAGTGCTTGGGAGAGAAGACATGAATATGGATGACTTTCAAACAAAGTATCTTATTCTCGAGGGAATGACACCTATGGCTGCCAGAAAAATCTGGCGCGATCGACTTCACCAGGGGGAGGGGTGGGGAGGATGCTGATTTCATTCAGTGGATCCTTTTCAAAAAAAAAACTAGGATGCTAGGCTAACATGGAAACACAAAAGAAATTAAACTTTTTCTCGATGGAATTTGTGGCATTTCTTTTGTATTTCCATGTTATCCTCGCATTCAAGACACTTTGGAGGAACCATTGAGCGTAAAGAACATGATTGGCTTCACAAGATCTTACAAGAAGGGAGGGGAGTGTGGTTTCCATGGAACTAATGAAGCCTCTCCCTGGTCTTCCTACTGAGATATGAGTACTGCAATGGACCCCTGGCATGTGTCGTCAAAGTAGCCCAATTTAAAGGACAAAATAAAAGAATTTCAATCTCCTGAGAATTGGAACCATATTGTTATGTCCTCCAAATAGCACACTTCTGAGATATGCTTTGCTGGTCACGTACAAAGGTTACAGTACGAGGCTACATGCTAAATTGAATTAATTCTTTTCTCCTATCACGGATCACCGAGCATCATGCACGAAATCTCACGTTCAATCCTTTGTGCGTGACAAGCGAAGCATATCTCGGAAGTGGGCTATTGAGCTGCATTCCCAAAGTGCTGCAAGCGACATAGACCCCATGTGCTAATTGTAAGCTATTAATATAATGTTGGCTTCGTTGGTTCCTTCTGAATGGCTCAGACTAGAATGGTTTGCTTTCATGGATCTTTTCTTAGTATAATAAACAAGGTGCATGCTGGTCTAGCTTGGATTTAAAAACACCATACAGCTTTCTCATAATGGCTGAAAAGGGCACGAAAACGAGGCCACCCAGTCATTAGTCCACAATACGAGATATAAAAGTACATTAAATGAGTTTATAAGAGAAAAGTATAGAAATTTAACTTTTGTTTTGACCTGTATTCGCGCTATCCACCTTTATTCTGAAAGAGCAGCCTTGCTCAGCCTTGCAAGATGACTGGGTGACCTCGTTTTTGTGCGCTCGTCAGCCATTATGAGAAGGGTGTTTATAAGGCATGATGGAAAAAGATGTTTGTACCCAAGCTAGACCACAATGCACCTTGTTCCTCATCCCCCGAATAATTATTAGTCACAATAGAGGTTTTGCACCACCACGTGACGGCGGCCATGTTGGATAGCAGGAACAATACAATCGTCTTACATGAAAAAGAAATAAGTTCCCGAGAGCAAAGAGATTTTATTGATCTGCCATCTAACATGGCCGCCGACAAGCGGTGTTGCAAAACCTCTATAAACAGGGTCTACAAAGTTCACACTGTATAGACTCAATCGCAAAATCCTTAACGTGTTCAAAGCATAGAACATGGCAGCTGAGACCAAAATGATACATGGGTACTTTAATTAGATGTATCTAGTAATCTAAATTGGGCACCCTGTGCTATTGGGAGCTTCGCTTTTAGGCAGTGCCTAAATTTACGATTAAGTCAAGATAACGAAAAAAAAAAAAAAAAAAAAAAAAA